GCAAACATAATTTCTCATCAGTCAATGCTTTCTGATTTGCCTGTGGAAAAGGAATGTTGACTGTTGGTCCATCACCCTGACCTCGACTTTACTGAGCACTCACACGTGTGCCTCCGGAGGAGGATCACAGCAGACATGTAGGCTAAAGACATGGTGTAAATGACACCATTTCTGGTCAAACATGAATGTCGGGGCTTACAGCACTTGGACGACACCACAGGAGCAGAAGAGTGGCATTTGATGTTTTTTCTGTTCTTTATTACTTTTGAAGAAGTGGTCGCCTTTTACTTCAATTGTATTAGATTTGGCTTAGTTTAGTATTCAAACTGTGTCTAGGATTATTTAAAAAAAGGGTAATTTAAAGTCTTGATTCAGTGTTAAGAACTGGGAAGATGATAAATTAAGTTAAGTTATAGCCCACCTTAAGATCTAGATTAAGAATCTAAGCAGAAACAATGTCAAAATATAATTAAGAGTTCAAAACCATGACCTACAAATGAAACAATAAAGCGTGAAGCACTGATTATCATCAAAGTCAGTGTGCTGCCATGGCAGTTTTGGCATTTGCAAGGTTTCACTTTTAACCTTTAATACCAACTAAATGCCAGAAGTTAGGGGCAGACAATGCAATCTGACAGAGTTCAGAATTTTGGCCGTAAAGGAATAGTTAAATAACAGGAAATGCATTCATTCAGGTCCTTTGAGAGACAGAGAGAGAGAGAGAGATGAGAAGATAGACACCACTATCTAATCTGTGCGTTCAGTGCAGAGCTAGAGGTACAAAGCAACTTGGCTCAAACTCTTGAGGCAGCAGAGAAATATGTCAACTTTCTTTCTTCAGTTGCGATAATACATCTAGCACCACAATAGTCTGTACTCTTGAAGTACACCGAATATTTTTGTGGCAGCAGTTTGTTTTTCATGTTAAATACTTCCTCACTCGTGTGTTTGATTTGTCAGAAAATGAAACAATGTAGTTTCTCTCCTATATTTATTCATGAGTGAGGTCTTTCATTTGAGGGTGTTAGATCTTCATGTTCAGTCTGTTCATGTCTATGTGAAATTGATTGTACTTCTCATTTGATTTAAAACATCTTTATCATCCAGCATGTCTTCTGATACCTGGAATGGAACCTATCTGCCTGAAGATGAAAATATCTGTTGTCAGATCTTCTCTGTCTCTGTGTGCTGCATTGAGAGTCTAGTATATTCGGAGTAAATTCAGAACAGGATCACCCACGTAAATACTCAAACTGAGATTGTGCACGTGGCAAAATCTGCGAGCAGAAGATTTTCAAGTGCCGAGATGCAGCCTCAGCTCAAAGAGAAGGACTCAAACTTAAACAGTGTATCTGAAATGCAGACAACCATATCTGAGAGCTGGTTGTAAGGGGTGTGGGGCTTTAAGGGAAAACATTACAAAATCTAAATGTGAAATAAACATTTAGTTTTGTGAATATGGCTATCAAAATAAAAAGACCAAAGGAAGCAGAAGAGACATACTGAAGAGAAAAGAAAACAACAATTTGTACACTTTTGATGAAACACACTAGTGAAAACATTATTAGGATTATTTTATATTCAGTTTCTGCCAATAGATCCCTTTCACCTAAATCTTCCAGTGAACATATAAAGAATAGTAAATTAGTAATTTGTTATTAATTAAGTGGTTAATTATTTTTATTCACATGTATGTGAGATTACAGAGGACGTTCGACACAGCAAAGGTTTTTATTCTAATCCAGTACACAAATGTTCACTATTTTTTGGTTTTAGAGGGAGAGTGGTTTCAGATGACATTTTTTGAACGATGAATTTGTTTTTGAATTTTGGTCAGTCCAGCTTCCTGTTTCACTTGGTGTCCAGTCTGTTACTCTGCTCTAAATGCACAGACATAAAAGTTATGGCAGTCTCTTCTGACTTTAATTCCATACAATTTCAAATCACTGTATATCTTTACGAACAGCAGAGTGACACAGCAAGTTTCACATTAAAAGGGCTTTGTTTAGTTCATCTCCCCGAGTTTAAAGCCTCTTCAGAAACACACACAAACACTGTGAGGTGATAAAATAGCTTTTTTTGTTTCTTTTGCATATTGAGAATTAAGTCAAAATGATGAGAAGAAAGTTGAAATGTTGAGAATAAAGCCTTATCTATATTACTGCTGATAAGTGTGGTGTAAAATCATTCAAACCCTTATTTCCTCTTGCCTCAACTACTGTAACTCCTTTTATGGTAAATGGTCTGTATTTATTTATTCTTGTCCTGAGGACCAAAGTGTTGTACAGATTTACATTCACCCATACATTCATACAGTGCATTTATGTGCAGCACTCTCCCTATGAGAAGGAGCAATTTGGGGTTCATTATCTTGCCCAAGGACACTTTTGCATGTGGACTGGGGAATTGAACCACAGACTGCTCTAGCCCCTGAGCATCAGACACCCACATTATAGCGGTCTTACTCAGAAAGTAATCCACCGTGTCCAGTTAGCCCAGAATTCTTCAGCTTGCCTTCTAACACAAACCAAAAAATGTAACCATATCACCCCTGTTTTAGCCTACTTGCACTGGCTGCCTGTTTATTTTAGGATTGATTTTAAAAATTAATTACTTTTAAAGCCAGGCATGGGCTGGCCCCGCCCTATAATTCAGCCCTTCGAGCCAGGACGCAGTCTGAGATCCTCTCGTAGGAGGTTGCTAACCATTCCAAAGTCTAGGCTGAAAACCATAGGAGATAGAGCCTTTGTCATGAGGGCCCCTACACTTTGGAACAATCTGCCAGAGGAGACTTACAGGATTGGTTACCTGTTTTATGTCACTTCTTAAGACACATCTTTACAAAAAAAGGTTATCTCATATGATATCTATAAAAGTGCAATACAAAGTTTCTTCATCCAGATGAGCCACCACACAAGCTTGCAATAGGTGGTCACATTCATGAAAACTGAAATAGCTTGAAATAGACAAAAATGTGGCAACTCACACAGCTGTCAATCAACCCTTCTAACTGGATCTTATTTAAAAGGTTTGGCATTCATCTTAAGCTTATTCACCAAATGCAAAAATAAATCTTTTTTAATCCTTATACTCATTTGTATAGAAGTGTTACTTATCAGAGAAGATAAAACCGGTTTTGTGTTCAAGAACTCAAAAAGCCATTTTGTTTCTCTTGCTGAAGGACAATAGACAGTGCCAGAAGTCTAAATATCAACACTGTTGGTCTGGTGGCACCCACCCCCCCACACTCCATGGTCATGGCCTTCACTGGTGTGTGTGTGTGTGTGTGTGTGTGTGTGTGTGTGTGTGTGTGTGTGTGTGTGTGTGTGTGTGTGTGTGTGTGTGTGTGTGTGTGTTTGTACCTCCATGGGGAAAGCCTTGAAGTTGACAGTGTGCTCTGATCCTCTCTGGTTCTCTTTGCCCCAGTGGAATCGAACCTCATGAAGCTCAAACTCATGATCGCTGGGCAGCGGACCCCCGGTAACCACTGGCAACAGAGCGGGGAAACCCAGGGGCATTGTGAGCAAGTACAACACAGGAAACAGAGGACAGATCAAAATGTCAAGAATAAAGGGAGTGAGTTAGAGGTGATTTTGATTTCACATGTTTTATTAAAGATTCATGTGTCACTCACCACTATAGACCTCAGTGACTAACAGTAAAACTAAACTCACATCCTGCTTTTTTAGCACTTCCCAAATCAGCGAGTAGTGTGTGTGTTGACATGATGTCATGTCTTCTGGGAGTCACCTGACTTGGACTTGAGAATGATGCGGACAGTGTGTCCCTCATTGATGACCTCACAGTCTCGACACACAACATAGTTCGGTGATAAGCCGGCGTCTAGGAGGGACGGGTCATACTGGGCCTCCCTGGAGTTTAAGTTAATTGGAGACTGATACTCGCCATTGGCTGCTGGGAAATGGAGTCCCCACTCTACACCTATGAGTGAAAACAGGCATAAGTACAGGCACACAAAAATAAACATTACATACACTGTGCATGTCTGTACTGTTATTGATCTGTGGATGTGCAATATGTGATGATTTAACAATATTAATACACACACATATATGAATATGAGTCAAAATCAAAACATGTGAGGTATAACCAAGTTACATTATATATTGACATTTCCAAATATTTTACATCCACAGTAAAATATTTCAGGTTGGGGTTCTGGCAGCAACGTTGGACATATAACGTGGTTGTACTGTTCAAGCGTCAATCAATCAATCAAACTTTATTTGCATAGCACATATTCACAAATCACAGTCCCATGAGTTTACGAGTCACACCCAGACTATGCTCTGTAACATGTAAATGGGAGTATGAATGGAACATTCTATTAGCAACTCAAGTAAACATCAAAATCGAAATAACATTGTAGTCAGAAGATATAATATAATAATAATAATAATGCATTTTATTTATATAGCACTTTTTAAGCAGGCTGTGGTTGTAGAGCGAGGGTAAGCATAGCAACGTACAGAAGACCGCAGTGGGATACAGAATCAGAATAAAAGCAGCATGTGTATTATAGTGAGATTATTATTTAAGTTTTTGGCTGAAAGACAGCCGCTGAGAACTGTCTCAACTTGAAAGGGCAGGTTTTTTTTTGCTCAGTCTAATGAAAGTGATACTAAGTGAGACAGAAGCAACACACTGATTCATTTCAGCTTTTTGCTGACCACAATCACTCCAACGGTACAATGAAAACATTGTAAGATGTGTGGGACCCAATGTGTCTTTTAAAGGACGAAACCAACACATTTGTTGAGTATCATGTTCAGGAAAGTCCAGTACACTCATATATCACGACAAGAAAACCAACTCAACTCCTCATAGTGTGTCTTTCTACTGCAGCCACATCACAGACACACACACCACACTGGCTGACTGTTCACTCCATGGCTAAGAGGAGCGAGGGGCCTGATCACATTCCCTTTTTCCTCAGCAACTATAACCTTGACAACGATTTTCTAAAGGCAGTGAGTGTTTGACTGCAGCTATACAACAACATAAAGGCAAACTGTGTGTGTGTGTGTGTTTCATAGCTCTCTGTTGACTGACTGTGTCACAGTAAGCCATAATTCAGTTCTGCATTTAGAAAAACAATCTCTAAGCTAGCAATTACCATGTTATGTTGTTGAGAGCAATGATAGTATATAAAGATGGTAGACACCCTCATTGCCCTCTGTTGGCTGGCTGCAGTGTATGTCATACCACCCTCCACCTCCATGTTAACAGATGGGACATAGACAAAACAAAAAAAATCTAAATACACATCAAGTAATTTTTTCTCAAAGATGTCTTCTGACATCTTTGGCAGTGGTGTAGTGCAGTATATAGGCAGATATATGGCAAATGTTCACTTATTGTACAATCAACATAGCATACTTCTACACCTCTGATTGGTTAGTTAGGATATGAATATCAGAGTAAGCCAATCTGAGGCAGAGTAGGACTGGTCATGTCTGTATTTGTCTCCCTAGCAAAAAATATTGCCTTCCCTTAACCCGACCTCCTGATAAACCAACTCATTAAAAAACACAACTAAATTCGGCCTCTAATAAATTCAAACATGAAGCGAACTACCCAAACAAAATGTCAGCAGAAATGACCTTGTTCTGCTATCTCTGTGCTGCTCGACAGCAGCTCAGGTGGTGATGGTATGCCACGTTCCATTATGCCTTGACCCTCGGAATGACGTCACACCTTATTAACCCAAGCTGATAGCATTCCAGTCTCACATTTGGCCGTACGTCGTAAGAATGTGTTAAATGTAAAATTTGATTGAAGAGCTGTAAGGAACAATGTTAGCCAGCTAGCCATTGTTAGCAAAACTAGTTTATAATAATAATATAAATAATATATTTATAATATAAAAATGCATTATGCTGCATTTCACGCATATTAATACTGTAGTAATACGTCCACAGACAGTAATTCAGCAGTGCTATGTGTACGACAAATATAATAACAGAATGTTGTGTGCTAATAAACACTAAAAACTACAGCTTTCACTTCTGTTGATACACGGAGCACCCATCTTGAATTTCAAAGTTGGTGTTGTTGAGGTTCCTCAGACCTTCCGAGTTGAAATTTCGACTTGAGGGAGCTTTCCAGTTGCAACTTCTGACTCAGGGGTCAGTAATTTTGAGCTCCGAGGTATCATGAAACGTAGCACTGGTATGCACTCTGTCCTCTACCCCCGTCAGAGACCATGCTGATGGTGATAGAGATTCTACCTCTTGTAAAACAATTTATAGTGAAGAATTCAACCACACTGAGAACCTTGTCAATGATGTTAATAACATGCAGTGAAGTTATTAATTTAGTGATAGGCCTAAACTGGAAGATTTTAATATTTCCCTGCACTATGACAAATAATGGATGCGCACTCTGGTCTGCACTGTCTGTTGGAAAAACAACAGTTTGCAAAAGACACGACTGGCCCATAAATGACTTAGTTGACTCAAAAGGTATTATTATGTATTGTATCACCTGTGGAAGAGTATTCATGCAAGATCTGCATCTGCATCAGAAATTATTTAACAATTTGCCCATTTTTGGGTGAACTAAATAGGCAAAAGAGTAGTTTAACATGTCACTGTTTATAATACACAATGATTATCATTTTCTGGAAGTACTACTTAAAAAATAAATAAAAAATAAGGGTATACCCACTTCTCTAGGTACCACTATACCACTGATCATGGGTTGTTCACATTTCATGTTTCTGATTCTAATTCTTTTAAAATGGAGTGATATTTTATGACCAATAGCTGAGACTGACTAAGGATTGGTTGTGGAAATGTACAAGTTATTCTATCACTGTCATCACTTTTACACAGTCAACTTTGATTTGAGGGTGTTTTCAAATATATTTAAATGTCATTATGCAGACATATTCAAAAAAGATTAACTCGACATAAGCACTGGCCCCGAAAGGTCCAAGAAGGTTTGAGATAGTAGGGGCCGTTTTTTCATTTATTTTTTATAAATTTGGTAATAAATGTTATATTAAAACCAGCACTAGTGTATTTCATTAGTAAACAGTCATATAACTTAGTTTAGAGCTCAAAATATGCATTTGATTGTGCATAGGCCATTCTTATAACGATTTCCTTTAATCTCCTACATTCAGCATCTTTCCTGCAGCTGTGACAAAAGCAACCATAAAAAAAACATTCATAAAGACTAAATCTACTCTTTGTACATGTGTGACAACAAACACAGTTTCCTCTGCTTAGCCTCTCAACAACTTACTGCTCAGCCACAAAGTTTCCTCATGACGCTAATGGTATTTGCTATCGATTAGCATCTAATCAATGCTTACACACATTTGCACATCATTCAGTATACTTACAGTGAGGTTTTTACAGTTCAGTTACACAGCAAATCCCTCAGTGCTCAGTAAAGGCAGCAATAAAAGGAAAACACAGTGAGAAAACGTGTATGCATATATGACACAAGTGATAATATTATTATACTATACTATCTATAATTTGCACGTTATTAGTGTCTTCTTTCCTGAGGCTTAAACTGTTTCAAATGTACATCTGGCATGAGAAACTGAGAGTCTAATAGTAGTAACAAAGTGGAAGTGGTTCCAGATTGAACAGCCTTGGGGGGTTTTTCAGAGATAATCTCATGCCCTAACTAAACCCTGCGAAACCTTATTGTCATCCTTTCAACTGGCACCTGTTTGTTAATTACCAATGATGTTTTCTGTTGAAAAGAGTGAACTCAAAGCACTGACATGTATTTTGACATCTAATTTAGAGGAATTCTGTGACGTGTGTGACTGAGGTGTTACACTCAGGAGAAAGCTCTGAAACCTGTGGCATAAAATCAATTAAAAAAAGTTCTTCACAACTGGAAAAAAATGTGTCAAAAACATTAAACTGGTAGTCGCCACATTATCTTGAATTATCCAGCAAATGTGCTCCAACTTAATGAAAAAAAATCAAATTGATGGACTGCTCCTTTAATTCTATAACATATCCAGTTGGACCATTTAATGTTTAACCTTCAGAGTTTGTTTTTCTTAATGTTGGCAACTGCTAATATGACTTGATGTGACCTTCCTTCTGTTGATGCGTTGCGCTCTCCACATGATTTTAAAACTACTTATAATCTTACATTTGTTCCAACAGCACATTTCAAAACTTTAATGTTATACAGTAATCTAGGGGAGAAAAATACTTCCTCATGAATTTTTGTTTTAGCCAACATGTCTTACACATCTGGTTCTGTAGCATATGTCAGTGCAAAACTCCATTTAAATGTGACACAGGCTGACACAGTAAGAAATGACCACTCATTCTGCCTCCCAGCATCCCTCCATATTGATGAAGAGCAGCCTACCTTCCTCGTAGCCCCAGTTCAGCTCATCTTTCCCCAGGTTATACTCTGAGTCCTCGCTCACGCCGTCAGCCATGCTGTTCTGCAGTCTGCTCACTGTGGCTGGAAAACCAGTAGACCCCCAGTCACACTGGTTTTGACCATTCACTCCAGACTGGAGCTTTTGCAGGGGGCTGGATGGGATGGATGGATTCCCAGCCAAGAGTGTGTTTTTACTTCTTTACTTTTTTTCCCCCTCTCTCTTACTTTTCTCCTTGTTCCTTGTCCTGTGCCTGTGTCCTCTCTGGAAACTACTCACTGCTGTGTGTGCAGCTCTCAGCCTCTGTATTTCTCTTTTCTCTCAGTTGCTCCTCCTCTCTCTCTCTCCACACTGCTATCTCTCCTCCTCTCTGTCTTTCTTTCTTTCTTTCTCCCTCTCTCTTTTCTCTGCAGACAGCAGGTGTGCTTGTTCACCCTGGCTTTCTTCCAAACAATGACAGATCTCTGTTTCTTTTTCGTCGCCCTCACCTGCACGCTGCCTCGGCTCAGGACTGAAAACTAACTTTCAAGTGAATCAGCTTTCATTTTTTTCCATATTATTAATGTTATTTCTTAGCTGGGTGTTATTTTCTTTCTCGGTTGTTTTTGGTGGCCTGTTGGCTGGAATGCTGGCAGGAAATTATGCCTGTGTTTCTGTTGGAGGCCACAGACCCACCCTTGGATGTAGGAAACAGCAGTGTTTAAGAAAACAGGCAGGAAACACCAGGGCAAGGAGAGTGAAAGGCCAAAGTGTTCTACGACCTTGATTACTTCAAGATGGACAGCGAAACTCTCAAACACTGGATACTAACCTCACTCACACTGTACTGTATATAAAACACACTGAGGGGACTATAAAACTGTAGGCACTGTTACACTTTCACATTCTTCAACTTCCAAATGGGCTGAACTAAACAAGACAAGATGTATTTTGTTATTCTGTAGAAAAGCATGTGCAGCAAAACATCGAGGGAGACAAATAGTTCAGAATCCCTATCTTTCTTCCTTCACTCTTTTTCTCTCTTTGTCAATTTCTATCCTCCAGACGGCTGATGTTAATTGCCCTACATTCTTTATCAGGAAACTTTCCTCGGAGCCGTCTAAATTCAGGTGAGCTCCCCTGTTTCCACACTGTGAGTCTAAAAGCAGAACATGGGCGGCAGAGTCTCTGTCTGTGATCCACATCTGAGCACGTCCCACAGAGAACGGGGCCCAGATTCATCAACCTTCTGACAGGGAGGTCCAAACTACCAACCGAACAGTGTTAAAGTTTTTGGCTGGGTTTGAGCAATGGCTTCCTCGTACTTAAACAGCAAAATGTAGAATACAGTTTCAGGACTAACTCGAATGATCACGACTGATCACATGCATGCTAAGATAGGTACTGTCAATATCTCCTATACTGTGTGTTCTTAAAGAATCTTTATTATTTATCATGATAGCTAATTTAATTTACATATTTATTCATTTAATTCATTTTGGGGGATTTGAATTATCTCCTGCAAGGGATTCTGCTGTTGGTAGAATAGGTATATCAGATATTATATAATATGTCACTGATGAAGATGCTCAATGATTAAAATGTTACCAATGCCAGATATTACTTCATTCAATTCAATTCAATTCAATTTTATTTGTACAGCACCAAATCCTAATATACATTATATCAAGTCTCTTTACATAGATTTTATATTCAAATCGTTTTAATATAGAGAAATCCCACAGTTCCCATAATGAGCAGCACTTTGGCGACTGTGGAAAGAAAAACTCCTTCATTAACAGGAAGAAACCTTTAGAACCAGACTCAATGTGGGCGTCATCTGCCTCAACCGGTTAGAGTGAGCAGAGAAAAAATGTGTAGAAGAGGGGAGATGGGTGGAAAAGAGGGGAGAGAAGTAGGAGAGAGATAGTGGGGAGGGGGAGTAGGGGAAGAGAGGCCAGAGAGACCGGGAACACTTGAGCAACATCAGGTATCAGCTCTGACTAGTTCTAATGTAAACAATAACAGTGTAAAGAAGTTATTGATTATTAGTGATAGCAGCAACAATTAAGTTAAAAGTTAAATAAGTTTGATAAATAGTTTCTTTCCTGGAGTGTTGAGGAGTAAAGTCAGCTGCAGCCCCCAGTGATCATTAGAAGAATAAGCAATATACAATAACTAATGGACTAATGGATATAACAGCTATTTTATCTAAAAAATAGAGACATTGATTATTCTTTGATACTATAACAGTGGAATTTTGCCCTTGTCTTGACTGTGAAGTATTAGATTTAGTAACAAGATTAGATACATGTCTTCACCATGTACATACTCTGAAATCTATAGATTGAGACATATAGCACTTCTATTTATTTCTTTTTCTTTTTGCATTAGAATGGCTGGTGACTTGGGAGTGGACCACTGTCATCACATAATAACTTATCTCAAACTAAATGTGGCACTTTGCTGCTCCCTGTAGGAAACAATGATTCACTACAGCTCCATCAGTGCTGTGACCATTAATTCTCTTAGTTTAAATTCTATTTGCACACTGATTGTGTTAAAGCCTCGTCTGATGTCATATCCTGCTCCAAAGATGGAAGTTACAGTAACAAATGGTTAAGAGACATTTGTTCAAGTTGCATGTGATAAAACAAAACTAGTTTTCATAGCTGAAACTGTTTTAATGAGGGATCAACACATGACATTAATGGAAAGGTTTGTTCACTGCTGTGACCATGGCAACTGGCCAGAGATGATGAAGGTCAACTATGCAAACACCAGCAAGAGAACCGTGTTAAGCTTTTGATCACATGTTGTCGGTGAGCTTTTCACCTCAAATGGAACCTAGACAAAACCTGTCATCAGGATAAAGTCAATGTTGGTCTCCTCATGGGAATTGTTGGGTATAATAAAAATGCTACAGCGATGGCAGCTGCATGCCTCCAAAACAAAAACAGAGAAGGTGTCTAGAGGTTTTGCAAGTAGACTCAAAAGCAGATGTACATTTTATAGAATAATATGACACAGGACAGTGCAGTGCAGTTTTCTGAGACACTGAATTAATGTCAGAAGATTTACTGAGAGCCTCAACTCCTATGTACAGGGGCTGAGTCACATGTTCAAAGTTTCTCCTCAATCTTTAAACTGAATTCATGATATTGCTAAATAGACAACTGCAGTATTTACTGTAACATACATAGCACAATAGATTACAATTGGTTTTTTTTCTCATTGTTAGGCCTATCAGTTGTCCTATTTTTATCAAATCACTTGATTAGATGTTCCATGATTGCAGTAATGCAACTACTGCAAACATTGGACCCTAGAAAAATTTACTTGTTTAACTATTTCTATGTTATTTCATAAGTCGTTTGTTGTATCGTTAGATATTTGCAATTTTAATGCTTGGTTGTACTTTAATTATTCGTGTGTTTTTAGGATATATTCTAAGGTGTTTTTGGTTGTTTAAAAAGGAGTCATGTAATAAAATGCATTATTATTATGATCATTACTATCATTATTGCTGCTGTTATTGTTATTTCATTTAAGAAGCACAGCTAACAACTTTCCAAAATTGTTAGCACTCCAGATGAAACAATATTTTTGTAGGACTATTTTTACTCTCTTAACTGTGCAATATTCACTGTGCTATATTCATTCTCTCTGTGCAATAAAATGGTTCATCTGCATTCCAGTCACTGTACATATTTGCATAATTGATTTTGTTTTTACACTGTATATATTAGTGTTTATTCTATACATATTTGTCTATATCTTTTATATTGCTTACACTTAAATATTATTATCCTTACACTTAACTATTGCATGTTACTTATCACTTACTGATTATTGACTCTTGCTGCTGTATTATTGCACATTTCCCCACTGCAGGACTAATGAAGGATGATCTTATCGCATCCTGAGCACGCACACTCTGTCCCTCCGTGATGTTGCTGTGTTTGCTGTGCAGAAAAACACAAGTTGATTAAGGGAGTCTCGGCAGGAACACATGACCCACCCTCCCACACAGCAGCCTTTGCCTCTTTCCTTTGCTCGGACGTCACTCACACACACGGGGGGGGCAGATACGTTGTTGGGTGTGGGGAACATTTCAGCCGCGAGGGGCCGCCAGAGCGAATTTAGAAAGTTTCCCAATGTTTTTATGATAATACTTGCTTAATATAGGTGCAAGTCGAAAAGTCATCATCCTATAAAATGTGATCTTGTTTTTCTGGTGTACGTGTGAAAATTTTCTGCACAAACTAACCACCGTTTATTTATTTGGGTCGAAAAACAAGCAGAGTATTCGAACCCAACTTGGAATGTCCGAGGAGACCCTGAAGGCCTCATACTGTAGCGTGGCGAGGGCGGACCTTGTGACGTAGCGGCGGAGGCTTCGGCTGTTTATTGTTCCTTCCTCACACGGACCCAGAGAAGCCAGCTGCCTCCTCCACACGGTCCACAGTCGGTTCAACGAGAGCGTGACGGTCGAGACAGCTGACTGTACCAAGCAGGGGCCATGGCGTACGCGTACCTCTTCAAATACATCATCATCGGAGACACGGGTAGGCTTGCAGCGAGCGCCCGCCCGCCCGCCACACAGGCGGCTAGCATCCAGCTAGCTGTTAGCAGTTAGCCAGCGGAGCATTTCCGCAGTGTTGGTCGGTCCAATGACGTGGTAAAAGCCGAGGAGAGGGATGACAGCTCCCGATTCTTCACCGTGAACGCATTTGCTCGGGGTTGAAAACACAGTGACAGTGGCGGCAAATGACACGCAGGCACCGTGACACAGGCAGTTCCCGTCGCGCTGTGGCGTTAGCGGTTGTTGACACTTGCAGAGAAATGTTGGGCCTTTTGTCCGTTTGCGCCGAGGGGTGGGGGGGTGTTAGCCGCAGCTAGCAGACCCAGCTAACTGCCTAGCTAGCGTTTTGCTGTTTCACCAAATATGTAGGAAACAGCTGCAGATCGGCGCCGCGTTACATCTTGACTATCATTACTCCGATCTTTGTTTTTTTTAGGCTGCATCGTCAGAAACAATGTTGATTTTTAGCTAAGTTGCTTCTTCTGGAAAGGCCAGAACGTCAAGCTAAAGCCTCTCTGTATTCGGGGTAATGGCGTAGGGGAGTTGTTTCTGGTGAACGAACTGGACCGTGTGTCGACTCCTCCATCATGTATGTATTTTAAAACATCTGTGTTCGGAGTTGGACATCATGCGTTAAACCGGCGGAGCACCAGTAAATGTTGTCATCCGTGGAGCTAGCTGTCCCGATGAGGGCCCTGCTGCAATAACGTGCAGTGTAGC